CTCCTGTGCAGAATCGTCGTCCAGTCGGCAATCGGCAAAATCTTTGCTAGATGAGTGACCGGTTCGTCTACATCAGGGCTGTCCAACATACGGCCTCCTTTCTTGCGGCCCGCTTCACGGGTCATGTATACATCACATGTATAAATTACTCTCAAATACCGAATATGCACAATTCTTACATTAACGATAAAATACAATAACATATGTGACGCCACTGGCGACCGATAGCAGGCCGCAGCGAATTTACTGGAAATTGGACCGATCTCTCGATCATCACCGAATATTCGAGAAGCCACGGGCGCGTATATAAGAAGGTTGAATCAAGCGGGACAGGCCGACAGGCAGTTTTGTTCTAGTGCTAGTGCGTTTCAGTACACAGCAACTCTAAAGCCTTTTTAAGTGAAATACTCCGTGAAATATGTCTTCACAGAAACGAAAACTAACGAACGAACATCAAGTTTATAATGACCGTTGGGAATCAGAATATTTAATCTTAAACAATAATAATAAATTTCAGTGCATTGTTTGTATGCAAGTACTATCGGTTCCTAAAGAATATAATTTGAAACGACATTACACTACGTTACACGAGAAAACGTTTCGGCAGTATTCAGGGGACTCGAGGCAGGCTATCATAACGGAATACAAGAAAAAACTAAAACAACAAACAAATTTTTTTTAAAAATCTGACTCTGATAACAAGTGCAGTATTGCCGCCTCTTACAAAATAGCGCTGGAAATTGCCAAAGCAAAAAAACCTTTTAGTGATGGAGTGCTTATCAAAAAGTGTGCAATAGAAATGGCGAAACAATTCAATGAATTAAAAGTTGCCGAAAAATTTGAAACAGTCTCAGTATCGCATCAAACAATTGCAAGACGGGTGGTGATTTTTTGGCCGAAGTGGATGCTACATATGGGGACTTGTTACTTCACAGGGATGTTCGTTGGTTAAGCGCCGGAAAGTGTTTGCAACGATTTTTCGCTGTACGCAAGGAAATTCCTATTTTCCTTAAAAATGAAGTGAAGTCCGACACTACGGAACTGGAAAATCAAATGGCAGATGCACAATTTTTAGCAGACCTTGCATTTTTAACAGACATGACATCTCACCCTAACAAATTGAATTTGAAGCTACAAGAAAAACAGCAGAATATTGCTCACTTATTTGGACACAAATGGGTTTAATAATAAAATTAAGCTTTTCAAGTCATCATTACAAAAAAATGATTTTTCATTTTTTCCAAGTTGTAAAGAACATTTCGAAGAAATGAAGGACTTTGAGGAAGTTTCATATTTACCTCATATAAAATACATTGACACAACTGCAGAAGAATTCTAAAATCGATTTAGTGACAAAAAATCGAAAGCGACATTTCAGTTTTTACTCAGCCACTAACAATTTCTGTTGAGAACGTAAACAGAGCAGACCTTCAACTGGAATTGTGTGATTTGCAATCAGATCCTTTTTACCAAGGAAGAACTGAAACTGGCTTGGACTTTTTTAAGTTACTGCCAGGAGAACGATACCCCAACTTGCAAAACTTAGGACTTACAATGGAATCAATGATGGCAAGCGCGTATCTTTGCGAAAGCAGCTTTTCCAACATGAAATTTATCAAGTCAAAGTATAGATATTCCCTCTCTGATAAGTCACTTACTCAGTTACTTCGTATATCAACATCAAATATCAATGTTAATATTGATACAATAGTATTAGAAAACCAACATCCTCAAATGTCCCACTGATTTTTTTGTAATCTCATATTTTTTGAATAAATAAAAATAATAGAAAAACTATTTTTATATACCATATAGTATAGTATATACCTATTAAAACTCAGTAATAATGTTGTGTAGAAAGATTTTATAATGCGGCCCTCCAAACTGCATTTTTTTTGGAGTGGCCCTTGGGCCACATTAAGTTGGACAGCCCTGGTCTACATAATTAGTAAAATCTAATTTTTGATCAATGGTCCGTCTCAAAAATTTTGTGTATCAATATATTATTTAAATTTATAAAATCAAAGGAGCATTTAAATATAAATGTTGTCTTGTTGACATTGAAACTTAGGTAATTGTTGTCACAGCATTTTTTGATTGATTGATGGATTGTTTTTGGCTTAATTTCATTTATATCTGTGTCTTGTGGTATCGTCAGCAAAAACTATGAATTTACCATTTATGTTTAAATTTATCAAATCGTTGATGGCAACTAAAAATAGGATCGGGCCTGATACTGATCCTTGAGGAACTCCTGCCTTTATATTTAATGTATTTGGTATACAATCTCTTAATACTTTTACAATTTGGAATCAATTATTCACATAAGTTTTAGGAACCATATTTGTTTAATTTTTCCTATTAGTATATAATGATTTACATAGTCAGAAGCTTTAGAAAAGTCGCAACAAAGAGCAACTGAAATTTGTTTATCGTTCAAATTTGAGTATCACTTTTGGAGTAACCCTTCATATTTATTTTATGTTAACAAATGATCAGTATCTTGTACAGTATTTGTTTGTTTTTTTGCTATTGTATTTTAATAATTACTATTTAGTACGTCGTGATTTATAGGTGGTATGCTAGCGGGTAAGTAGGATGTTTGCCACATATTAGTTTCTGTTCATAATAATTCTTTTGTGCTGAAGCTTGAACTTATTTATATATTCTATGATACGTCATATATTTACAAGTTGTTCATGAAATGTCAGAAAGGCATTATCAGTAAGGAAGCAATCATTCTAGTTTATTGTGGTACTTCTATTAAAAAATCTTTTATAGTTATCACCACTAAATGTCTGATATATTAATAACTCTTTTGTTTCTTGTAATTACAGTTAGGTGAGTTGCTACGAGTGCTTCTGATCTGACAATTCATACTTCTTGATGTTATATGGACGCCAGATGCATCTAGCATCTGTCACACTAACAGAATATTCATTGAGTGCGCGCTTGACTGACAATTTGAAAATAAAGGTTTACCATATAAGACTACCAACTTAAATGATTTGGGATTTTATTATGGATCTTATAAGAATGTTTAAAAACTTTGCAGTATTAAAATTATTTTTCTATAAGAACAACCTTCTTGTTCAGAGTAACCAAAAAAGCAGAGAAAAATTTGCCCAGAGTGAAAAAAAGCAATTTTTGGAATGTTTTCAAAAGTTATTTAAACAGCAGATTCGTTAAAAAGAGTCCTTTTGAATAAGATTCTGTAAAAAAACAAACATTTTTCCGAGCAGATGCGAAGATACTTCAAGAACTAATTATAAATACCCTATCATATCTACATGATTCACAGAAATTGTCTCTCATTCTAGAATACATAAGACGCAATACAAAGTTAATCTGGACAGAGAATCCAACGAACCCCACGTTAGAAGTAATGGATCTGTGTGGACTCAGCAAAGTAGCCCATGAACACAAGCTGATGTTAGCTGTAGATAACACCTTTCTCTCGCCATATTTACAACGACCTGCAGAGCTTGGTGTTGATTTGGTAGTTAATTCGGTAACCAAGTACATGAATGGCCACAGCGATGTCATCATGGGAGTTGTCTGTACCAGCAGAGATAATCTGTATGAACGGTTGAAGTTTATACAACAACGTAAGTTTTAAGGTATACACCCATTGATGGAAAGGGAAATGAAGAAAACAGGAGCGAAACTATTTCGCTAGGTTCCTTTAATATCATAATTAAATAAGAGCCCTCGCACTACAAGGTTTAAATTATTTCGATTATTGTTTACCCATACCCATTACGAATTCCAGGACACTTTAATCATGGTTCAAGTACAGTTTAAATCGAAGTTGTTAGCAGACAGTGAAGAGGTTAAATTATCATGGGCTTGTTTCAGGATAGAGATAGTTCCCTAATTGCACAAACGCGTTCCAAATACGTTCCAGCTACGGCCCCCTTAGGTCGCCTATAGTCGCAAGACGTTTCAGGAACCAATTTTATCGCAAAAAAGTCGGTAAATAAGAGTGAAAAAATTTTGTAGGCTGATTAAATTGGCAGCATTGATGTTTCGGCTGCCACACCAACCTGCCTTATTTTCCTTGAAGTACAATACCAGATAATACAGAATCGGAAAACTGCAATTGTCCACAACAATTTATTTCAATCTTTCGATTTCATACTTTGAGACAGGATGTAGTGGGAGTCAAATCATAGTCAATCATAGAATACGATTTCCCTCAGTGCTATGGGATTTGACCCTATTATGATATTCACATATCTCACTTTGTATCTCAGATTTTGGACACATTCCAGCACCATTTGACTGTTACCAAGTTATTAGGAGTTTGAAAACTCTACCTATACGTATGATGAGACACATGTCCAGTGGAATAAAATTAGCACAATATTTGGAAAATCATCCAAAAATAGAGAAAGTACTCAACCCAGGTAATTTGTTCACCTTATTTTACATCATGAAGTTCACAGAACTGAACTGTGTCGAGACCTTTACCTTCTGTCAATATCTAAAGAAAATTGATGTAAACTGGGCTGACCGGAACATTAGTGAATTTTCATACATCTGTGGATTTATTTGATGGCCAGAGAACAATTTAAGAATATATTTGCGGTATGGTAATTCAAAGTGTGTGGAAAGATCCATCAATATTTCACTGAGCTACCTATATGTTTCAGCTCTGCCTTCACATCCTCAACATGACCTCTTTAAATCTCAAGCATGTGGTCATAGTGGTATGCTAGCAGTATATCTCAAAGGCACCGATTTAGACACTACCCATAAATTAATTGACAGCTTGAAGCTTTTTGTGCATGCTGTCAGTTTGGGAGGATATGAGAGTTTAGTTCAAATGCCGTAAGTTCCCATCATCGCAGAATAGTTTTTATTTGAGATATCAAGATAAAATTCAGAAATAGTTTAATTGAGAAAAACATTGCATGTTACTAAAAACATTCTTTTACTATAACAGATACAGAATATTACATATAAAAAACTATTTTAAAAAGTTAAGAAATATTTCCCTATACAAACCCTTCCTTTTATAATTCCCTTTTTAACACAAAAACAAACTCAAGAAATATTCGTTTTATTCAAAACTCACAATAGAGAGAACCACTTTGTACTTTCCAAAACAATCTTTTTTAAATTAATGTAAATCAGGACGACCTTTTCTTTTACACATTAACGATCAGCGCTAAAGTTTTGAAATTTGCTTCTGAACCAGGTATTTATTTATAACCCCTATTAGACCCATATGACTTGAAACATTACCTTTGACTGTGACCACATAGGGACACATGGTCTGTGCAGAAAACAGAGTGTGCACCAATATGAAGCACATGGTCGTTTACATTTAAAAAAAAAATTCATAAAATAAAATAATCCGTTCATAGTCTTCTGTCAAGATTCCAAAAAGGCATACTCCAAAGATGCAGAAATCTATGCTCATGGTTTTTATTGACAATCAGGATATACATTCCTGATTTCACAAAATTTATTATTTATGGACGTATCACCTTCACATTCTGGCTATATTTATTTCATTATATAACCTAGAAAAATCAGTCTAATTGGTTGATTGTTATCAACTAATTGTACTATTTACCACACATATTTTGATTTTATTTATTTCTAGAACACTACTGAGTCATAGAGATACACCTGATAAATTGAAGAAAATTTCAGGCATAACGGACAATTTAATAAGAGTAACAACAGGATTAGAAAACATAGATGACTTGATTGCAGATTGGGAACAAGCACTTGACAAAATATAAAACATTGTTTTTATTGAAATATAAGTAGCAATATAATACAATCAGCCACCCCACTTATTACTGCCAGGATAGTTTTCTATTGTTAAACTTTTACATCTTCTTAGTTTCACTGCAATTTTTTCATCATCAGGTTGAGGTTTCACAGATAAAACTTCAACTCTAGCAACTACCAAGTGTTCAGGATTTGAGTTACTAAAACCTTTTATCACATCTATTTCATCATCCTCTTGAACAGCAATACTTTTCTTTAGAACCTTTTCCCCATTGAGTCTCACTCTACTCTCATAGAACAAAGCTTCAATTTTGTTTCTGGACAGACCTAGTCCTGCTTTTAGTATGGCATCAAACCTGAGTGAGGGAACATCAACTTTCAGGGTTTTTGTGTTCCTGTCCTTAACGGTAGTCAAAAAATCGTCCTCTGACTTTTCTCCTGTACTGTCTGTCTCAAACTCTCCCTGATTCAGTTTGCTTTTACCTGCTTTACTTTTGAGTCGATTTGTTTCTAGGTTATACAAATAACTGTTGCATAAAACAACACGGTGAATCTTTGATCGAGATAAAGTAACTATGTTTTTGCTTAGACTAAAACACAACAAAGATTTGCAAGCTCTTGAAAAAAGCATATTCCTTATATTATTGAACATTTTTTCGGTTTTGGTTGGTTTTCGACGTTTTCAAAAATCATAATACAATCATAACCTAATTTCCTTATAGTACGCTAACCGCGCGACCTAGTGATGAATCACTCGACTACCGAGTTAATCAGTTAATAGTGCTCCAGTAATATTAGATCTACCGTGAAGACTAGAGATAGGAGAATGACGAGTGTTTTCGTGTAATGACTCAGACTCACGGCTCACTCACTTCTCACATGTTTTGTGCTGTGCTCCGTGCCTGTGCTGCTAGCTGCTACTCTTACCACTTTTGTGATGGTACTCACTCACGGAATGTAACGATATTGTAAAGCATATTATATCATATTATCATATCATGTCTTAAAAAAAGTGATGTTTGGTCAGCTTTTGAGGAGTTATCGGGTTCTAGAGCAAAATGCAATTTTTGTTCTCAAATCTTATCATTTAGGGGAGGATCAACATATAATTTGATGAGACATCTTAAAACAAAGCATCCTGGGTCCGTAGACAGTGTATGTAGGAAGGGCGGCCAGAGTTCATCAGTAAGAGATGAAAATCAACTATCAGAAGCCAGTCCATCTAAACCCTCCACCTTCAGTTCCAGTAACCAGCAATCAGGAAACATCACAGCGTTTCATGTAGCAACTAAAACACAACATACTTTGAATATGAGTTATTTTTTTTATAAACCTGTGCCAGTGAAAAAGAAGGATGAGATAAACCGGTGTCTGGTCACAATGATTTCCAAACAATATCTACCATTTCAAATTGTGGAAAGTGAGGATTTTAAGCAGTTTATTAAAGAATTGAACCCTGGCTACTCGCTCCCCTGTAGAAAAACTGTATCAAAAGCATTGGTACCTCAATATTATAATAAAACAAGAGAGGGAGGAGGATAAACTCCTGGAATGGGGGTGAAGCCAAAAATGTCGACGATGAAATGAGTCGGTACACTTCATAGCAAATAAATTACAGTTGCTGCTCATAAGACATTTCCATGGCATTTCCCTTGTGTGTACACTGCACAGGAAATGAATTTCAGATTCTGTCATTTTTCTCTGTTGCTGTCATCATGTTTGTAAACAACTCCAGTTTTCATCGTTCGGACGGAGCTGCAAGCAGAAATATTGGATAATAATAATAAACCACGAAGTACGGTTTGTTCGTAATGTGGTCGGTGCCTGCGGTATTAATAGAGCGAACAGAGTTTGTGTGGGGGGATCTTGGACCTGGTGACTGACAGGCTGGCGACTGTTATACGGACAGAGCTGTAAGAATCATTCAAAGCATGGCGACACGTGAGTGAAAAGTACATAAACATTGCGATAGATAAATGTTCACATTTTGAATGCAAAGACGCTATGCGCCATGTTCTACGCCCACCGACACCATCTTTGGCGACAGGATTGGCTTTAATACGAATACATGTATCCTATCCGCAGCTTAACCTAATATCTCTCGAACGAAATAGTATGTCACAATGATCCAATAATAAATCGCTTTGAAGTAGCGCATAGGATTTCTCCCAGGTTGAAAAGTATGACAGGCAAGGTTCCATCGCACCTGCACTGTTTCGTTGTCATGAAAAGCTGGAACGCAAGAAGTACAGATAGTACAGAAGTGTGTCTGTGTAAATGTTATAGCTGGCTCTTCCTCCTCATGAGCGTTCCATATTGGCGGCACATAGAACCAGCATGTACACGTCAAAACTGCTGAAGAAACCGTACACGTAAAAGGGTTTAATGAGAATGACAATCTGCACAAGTCTGAATACCGTCGAGGTCTAGTTAAAAAATATAAAAGTATAAGTGACCCACCAAAATTGAATTTTCAGCCGAAACAAAAGCGACTATTGTCTGTATTTCGGCCGAAACAGAAAGCCCAAGTTTCTTAAACCTACGAAAATATACTCAATTCCCTGGAATTTAGAGGTCTACAGAGTTATGGGAGTAATTGGACAACTTACCTCTCATAATGTATGATTTACTCCTTAAGTATAGTGTTACTAGAAATAAAATACTATGGTTAACTTGCTTTAACTCTACTTCTACAACTTCTTCCCGTTCAAGTGTGATCGTCCTCGCGTTAAGGAATACATCAGTACCGATTGCCAGGCGGCAGTACAAGTCCTCCAACCGCCCAGTTTAGGTCTATTAACATTATTAACACGCAAAAAGAAGGTGGTAGACAAGGACCAGTCGACCGAGGCGGTACCACCTGCTAGCCTTTTCTAGGGTGTCTGAAGAATGTCCGCATGTTTCTTGTTTCCACACCTAAGCTACGCAGTCGGTGATCTCCCCCAACAAAGAAATGAATGATGATGGATCCCTCGAGTACTAAGAATTCCGGACGTAAGCTCAATCCATTCTCGGAGTATCCGGGTGGAGGGTGAACTCGAGAGAACAACATCGATGATAAAATTTGTTTCATGAACATCTGTGGGATTAACAGCAACATTGATGCTGTTCATCACTACCTGCAAAATAATTTTCCCGCCATGCTTTTCTCGGCGGAGACAAAAATCTCAGATTAGGCAGCGACTAATCATATTATCTTACCAAATTACGAGGTGCACTCCAATGTGAGAAAGAACGGGGAAGTTGTGGCCTTTTTCCTGCTTCAGAGACGTTTCCTTGGAATCAGACCGGAAAAACATTCTGTGGCTTCGCCTCAACTCCAAAACATCCCCCAAATTTATTTGCTGCTTCTATCGCTCTACCTCAGACCATAACTGGGATGACCTACTCGTAGTTGAATACCTCGCTGTCAAGATTGTCTTCCGGAACATCAATTACCCCGCTCCAGAGGTAATTTTCCTCGGTGAATTCAATGCTCATAATGAGCTCTGGTTGGGCTCTAACAAGACCGATGCAGCTGTTGAAGCGTGCTTTATTGACCAAGGACTGACCCAGCTGGTGACGAGCCCTACTTCTTTCTCCGCGTTTCGTCACACGCCAGTAGCCTGCTGTATCTCCGTAAGTGACAGGATGCGTGGACAGACTTACCTGTATCCCATTAGTAAGTCAGATAGCGGTGATGTGGACGTTAGATTGGACTGGGAGGGACTCAGAGACCTCTCCCTGGAGAGATATTTGTATCCGCTAACGCGTATGCGTCGGCTGTCTGTTCATTAATAACAGAAATTATCCACGTTGGGATAGAGGAATACATCTCTCTTACAGTGAAAGTGTACCAGGGTCCAACGGCTGGTTCAATACATTGTCCGACACTGGTCGTCAGCAGAAAAAGCAGAAAATCTAGGCATTGAAGAGGTGTGCAACGAATCTTGCTCCAATTCTTTCGCGTATTTTTCAGATATCTTACGAATCCTGCACCGTCCCAGAAAACCGAAAATTTGCTTAAGTCTAACCCATCCCAAAAGGGTAAGATGCATAAATCGCGAGCTTCTGGACTACTACGAACGTCACTGCTTGATTAACGACAGGCAGTATGGGTTTCCGGCACCAATGATCCACAGCAGACCTCTTAGCTTATTTTACGAAATTGTGGAGTAAACTTATCCAGTCTTTTGGTGAGGCTCATGTCGTTGCTCTTGATATCACGAAAGCGTGCGGACAGCTGTGGCACGCTGCCCTTTTATGCAAACTTTCATCGTATGTCCTCCCAGAAAAACATTTCAGATGAGTGGCTAACCTTCTCTCTGGCCGCAAGATATCCGTCGTAATTGACGGGTTCTTTTCGTCGTTCACAACGTCAACGCGCGCGTCCTCAGGGATCGACCTTGGCTCCGACACTGTTCCTGTTCCACATCAATGACCTACTTTCCTGTACGATCAATCCAATCCGCAGCCTTGCTGATGACAGCACACTAGATGCAGGAGTTCAGAGCGACAAGCCGATCTCTGCCGGTGAGCTGGAAAAAAGAAGACTGGCAGCGACTTTCTCTCTAAGACCTGGACGTTATTATTACTGCTTGGGGACGCAACAATCTTGTACAGTTTAATGCTACCAGAACACAGTAATGTACCTTGATGAACAAAAAGCGTACTAGCGCTAATCCGGTTTTGAGGGATGGCCGAGTTCTGCCAAAGAGCCGTTCATTTCGGCTGGTCGGAGTCCAGATCCCGAGTTCTTGGCACGAACACTCTATACAAGGCCCAGAAAAGACGTAGCCTCGAGTATTGCTCACACGTTTGGGGTGCTGCCGCCCCGGCTACATTGTTCATGCTCGATGCTGCCAGAGGAGGACACTCCGACTAATCGATTACTCTTCTCTAACAGACTAGCCCTCTTCTACCGCTACATCAACGGGCTTTACTCCTCAATGCTGTCCTGCATGATGCACCACGCGATGTGCCTGCCAAACAGACCAGCCTGACTTCGGCGTCCCATCCTAACAGTGTCGAACTTCGTAAATCCAGAACTGGCCGATACGACCGCTCCTTTGCCCCTAGAGTGGCGAGATTGCGGACAATCTGCAAGAGGAGACTTTTCCCAGTTCTTCTAACTTTAGGCAGTTCAAAAATCGATTTAAGAAAGTTTCTTTGGGATCCTCATAGCAGTCGCGTTGTCCTGACATTTTAGTTTCTGTCTGTGCGGCCGCTTTGGTGTAAAAAATAAGCAAAAAATAGTACACAGCATAGCTTTTATATACAACGTGCTAGATCAGTAAAATGGTCTTCTCAAGGGAGATACTTATAGAACTTTGTTTCACTAGTAACACTTTACATCACTACGTTTAATTTAGATATCTCCATTGATTAGCCCTACATTTACTATAACCTATGAACGTAAATTAATTCAAGGGGAGTGATGTGATAATGTTCGTTGGCCGTGTTTTCATTTTTCTAGCATTAAAAGCAGTTTTCCAATATTATCCGGATTGTAGAGGTATTCAAGATAAATAGCTACATAAGCTATACCTATACCTAACAGCAACCACATTCCTTACTCGTATTCAAATATTTCATAATATAAAGTACTACATCTGTGCCAACGGTTCAAACGTGTCTTTCGAGTATTGATATTTCTATCATGCTGCCAGGAAGTTAGTGAACTAGGAGCTGACTATCCACATAATATACCTATGTCTAAAGTTCTCATTTTGCAGAAACGATTGTTATCTAAATTCACCGATCTATATGATAGGTTCATCTGCCTCTCCAACTGCAGACAGATTTCTCGACTTCTTTACATGTGGCAACGGTAGATGGCAGGCAAATCGGAAATGACGAAAATCGAGCAAGCAAGTACGCATGAACCCGTCTGTTGTCTTTGTCTCTCCCATGCACAAAACGGTCACCGGTTTCAGGCCAACAAGCGAGGATTTGTTTTTGTCAGCGGCCGCAGCGACGAGAGGCAAGGCAAGCTCTTGCTTCTTATTCGGGCTCTTTGTCTTCCAGTGTAAACTGTGTATTTTTCGACAAACTGATGAACCTAAAACGCCGCTTTTGCGAAAAAATCCAATAGCGATCCTCGCTGATCGAACATTCAGTGATAAACTCGCGAAAATTAGTGCCAGTGGGGTGCCGTGACAAGTGTATTTGTTTCGCTGACCCACACACCTCCCCCTTCGGTTTTCCGGCTTTGGATATTTACTGCACATGTGAGTTGGTTTTCCGGGGTTTTTCTAGATTTTCTGTACTGTCAAAGTGGATTTTCATTAAGGAGATGTGAAAAGGTAAGATTACGGAAATAGTTTTTTTTTTACAAACATTGAAGCTATAGATTTTATCCTCAAATTAGTCTATGCCGATTGTTATAACCATAGAATCAGCCTTTGTTTTATCATTATCGACTATTATAAACATGATTCATGATTAGGGTGGGTGACCATAATTTTTAAACAAAAAAAAATTACACTTTTAAGGAAGATCACCAATACTTAAGGTAAATTCACCTATTACCGCCCTACTTAAGACTTAACGAAGTTTAGGTATTATTATTTAGAGTTGTATTTATTTTATGGGTATTGTGAAGACTCTGTGCTATATATATAGTATTTTATTGGAAACAAAAAAATCGAGTTAGCGGTTTATTACCATAAGCTTGTTTTGAAAAAAATTGAAAAAATAAAAAAATGTGGATATATCCCATTAGCGCCCTATACTTCTATTTCTATTCCTATTACCGACTTTTTGTCACCTATTACCGCTTATGGAAATAAAACAAGTAGGTATTTAAATGGGTAAGTAAGTTTACTAACTTGGGTGAAATAAATAGTTACTAAATAAACACAAAAATAGTTACTTGAAATACAAAAACATGACTACATCTATGAAAAACTATGTTGACTTTTTTTAAATTCTTCCATCTTTGGAATGTTATAAATGCCCCTGCTGTTTATTAATTCAGGCGGTTCAATTTTACATAAAATATCTTTGATATCGTAGGTCAATATATCATCTTTTTCCAGCCACTTCCAGTTTGGTCCACTCATTTCCATTGATTTTACAGTTATCCCCGCCATTATTCCATTCTCATCATAACCACAAACAACTCCTGGAAAGAGTTCTCCTTCGTATATTGTTATGACATGGTCTCCAATGTTGTAATTACTTATTTTCTTTTCCACGTTTTTTTCAGAATTATCTTCAGGATTTAATTTTCTTTTCTTCAGCAAATGATTTGTTACTTTTTTACTTTTTCTTTGTTCTTTCTCATGCTGCTTCTTTTCTTTTTCCGCCTTGATTCTTCTCTGATACTCCATGAATTCATCTGAAATTGCTACTACTGGCGTAATTTTTCTCGTAGCTCTTTGCTTTGCCGAATCTTCAACTTTCTTAGGGAAGTAAAAAGCGTTTTTAAACGGCGTTGATACTTTAAAGCACATAAGTTCTTCTGCGGTTTCACCTACTGGCAGCATGGGGTTTTCTTTAGGTTTTTCGGTTGTGGCCACAACATCTAAGTTTGTGTCGTTTTCACTAGCGTGTTCGTCAATTAAAATATTATCGTGAGGTAAGATTTTCACAGGTGAGGTATCCGGGGTATTATAGGTTTTTTCTATTGTTCTAAGTGCATTACTATTTTTAGTGCCTAAGGTAACCGATGGTCCTGGTAAACTGCAATTTTCAGTATATTCAATATTGCATATTGAAAGGTTGCCGTCTCCTTGAATTTCTAAGTCGATTGTATCCCAGGCATTTGCGTCAAAGTCTCTGATATTTTCGGTAATATTATTTATGATTGTGGTGTCATCTAAAATCATATCCGTTTCTGCACTTGGTTTATCCTGAAGAGACTTCCAGAAAACGAATAGTTTTTCATAAGTGAGATCGCCATTCCATGTATCGCCCGAAGACTTGAACAATTCTAGTGTTGCTAGAGGTAGATGAGCCTCCAGCTGTTCTTTAAAATGATGATCTGTCTGACCTGTGACATTTTGATCCTTTGTATTATTACAAACTGGTTCTTGCTGCTCTTGCATATATGTTTTCATGAGCTTACTGTAATTAATACTTTCGGGGTTAAAGGGGAAAAGGCCACAGCATTCAAATCCCTTCTTTATAGTTTCTTGTTTAAGACATTTTTCAAAACATGCTTTAACCAAATTTGAAAAATCGCTTCTTCTGATTTTTGCCCCTTCGTTTTTAAATCTAAAATCATGAACCACATTTCGCCACGTGGCTTTAACTGGTCTAAAAACGGCCACATCTAATGGCTGTAAAATGTGGGTAGAATTAGGCAAAAGTGCGACTAATACTATCCCCTTCTCCTTACAAAATTCACTTAAGGCTAATGATATGTGGGAGGTATTATGGCCATCAAGAAATAAAGCCACTGGAAACTTAGTGTCACGATTTTGCAGCCAGGGGTAAAAAACATTTGCAACGTATTCATAGAAAGCCTCTGAATTCATCCAGCCACTCTCTGTATAGCCTAAGCCCCAGCCCTTAGGAACAGTCTACGGTATAAATTTTGGTAATCTTTTGTAGGGGAATATTACCATAGGAGGAGCTGGTGAGCCATCAGCAGACACATTTGCAAGAACAGTTAGACATTCTTTTTCGTCGTTTGCTACCCGGTTATAAACAAGCTTGGTTCCTCTTCTAACGAGAACTTGCTTTTCTTTTGGACACAAAAAGAAAGCAGACTCATCACAGTTAAAAACTCTGGAGCCATCCTCAAGAATATCCATAATATTTTGGCTTCTAAAATATTCTTCGACTTTTCTGAACCAGTTTTTAATAGCCAATTCAGCAACTGCACTTCTACTTGTAGTTATGTTTTGCGATACACGTTTGGAAATTTCAGGATGACGGTCCATAAACTTTTGAAACCAATGGTTTCCAGGCTTACCATCCTTAAATGGATTTGGACGTTGTAAATTTTTCACCAGGTTTGAAACACTTTCTAGTAACTGTGACTTCGTGACTGGAAAACCTAGAGCTGCTAGATGGACAATCCATTCAACAATTGTTCTTTCTTCGTCTCTAGAAAGAACCGGCTGAACTCCACACTTTTCAATTTTGTACTTTCCATCACGTTTATCTCTAAGAGTTGTTTTCGGCACGTTAAAAGTTTTAGATGCTTTATAGACAGACATTCCATTATTTATGGCTTCAAGAGCTCGAGATAGCTGATCTTTTGTATATTTAACCCGCATTTCTGCAGGCATATTTCTGAAACAAAAAGGACGGTAATTGGTAAAATGTATAGACCTATAAACCTATTACTGACCCAATAGCACGATATTAAATTATAAATCTTTACCACTTTTTCTTTTGCCAGTCTGATGAAATAAACAAAAAAATTAAGTACACACTTTTTCTGTTAAGCCCGAGTCAAGTTAATCTCTTTCTTGAGCACTATTTTATTTGAAAAAGTTAATTTACTCAGAAAGTATTTTTCTGATTTATGTAAAATAGTAATGCAAGCGAAGTAACTGAATTAAAATATTAATATCTAGAACAATAAATTCATAGGTCGGAAATAGAAAATAAGATTTTTTTAAGAGCAATCTCCCTAAAGAATTGGTTTCTATGATAATAAATCATACATGTTTCTGAAAATATGCATAAAGACATTCTAAAAAATCCCTAACAAGGATCTAAAGTTGGCAATGGGGAGGAAAGAAAATATTTTTATCTTATTACCGCGCTATTTCTTTCAGTCATTTTCTCTAATTATACGTGATATTAACTACTATATTATATATTCCTAGGGTACAATTTATTGTAAACATCTTACCCAATTTGCGCAAATGTAAAAATTAACTAAATCTTTTCCTAATTTCTACAAAAAGACAGTTTTGCATTCAAAATGCAGGTAGCATTATTTAGAATAAAATGGATATAAGCAAGACTGAATTCTACTTTAAATATTAAGAAGAAGAAGAAATATTATATAGGTCGGAAATAGAAAATAAGATACTTCGCCATGTTAAGTACAAAACAAGTTAATTTGAAGATTAAGATATTCCAAAAATGTCTCCTTATTAAATGCGAAGAATAATCGTAATAGCGATATATAAGGCGGTAATAGGAAAATATGAAAATATGTTACCCTATGGCCGCCCTATTGATTTTAAGCAGTTTTCATAAATTTGGTCCAATTTTTTTAAGTAGTAATATATTTTTTTGAGAAAAAATGAATATGAGCACAATATTTCACTTGAATACTTGCATAAATGTAAATATTTTGATTTTAAAAGCTTAATAATTAACTCAGTGATACTTACCTTAACAGTCTTTTGCAACACCAAACACTCGACTAAACGAAGGTCGTCGACTAACTAACGGTTTTTTGACAGATCTGATTTGAATATGTAATTGTTACTGCGCAGGAACGCTTTTACATGTATCAGGCGTCTAAAGCAAGGCGGGAAATTTAAGTAGATCTTGATTTGATCAAATAATTTTGTTGTAAATTAGATGATGGCAAAGTGGTCGGTAATAGGATCGACTTTTTAATAGGTCGTTATTAGGTGAATTTACCTTAGAGCAATTTTTGTCTAAATCTAACACAGTTTCAATCAAACAAAATAAAGCTATTTGTTTTATTATAATACAGATGCAGCAGCAATATAGCAACAGATTTTTTAAAAAATATGAACGTAAATATTTAAAAGTTAATTTTCCTTTGACGTGCTAGCTTGACCATTCGGATTTTCATTTTGGTACCAGTCGTACTTTTGGGAACTATGAATTGCTTTTAAAATTTGTGGTTTCATTGGTATCATTAAAGATTGTGTAGACTTGCATAGTGGCTTCCAGAGTAGATATCTTCAACTGCGATTTTTCAGAACTCTAATAGTTATTAATATTTGAGAATAACCCCTCAATTGACGCACTGGTCCTAGGCAGACAAAAACAAACTCACATAAAAATTTTACATTTTTCAATGCATTTTCTGCCTGGAAAACTCCGAGCCATCGAACTTCAGTAGAAGTATTTCTTAAATTCCAGTCCGCAATTTTGTTTTCTGTAACGTTCGTTTATATTAGACTTCATCGAATAGTTCGTACTGGTTCAATACCGGACTTAGTAGTCCTTAAACGCCTCACACAAAGATAAAATATCCGCCCAAGAAACGTGTCTTCTCAGGTTAGCCCATCCAAAAAGCTTCAGGTCTTTTAAATTTTCACTCCATTTTTTCAAGTAAGTTAAAACAATTCAAATAGAATTGCTTGACATGCGTGACGAAGACATCCAGATAGTTTACACTGCTGTCTTCCACATTTCCGCTCACTTTAAGCGGTAAAAAAGTACATTCAGGTGTACTTGATAAACTTTTAAAGGACAGCAGCACAGGGTTCGAAAAGAAAGTACAGTCCTACTAAAAAAAGTACATTTGGTCACCATATTCATGACAGATTTATGCTCTTCCTTAGCATGAACATTAAAAGAGTAATTGTAGTTCTTACAATAGACTACAGTTAAATGTATTGAGATATTTACATTCAAATTGCTTTAACAATTTCCTTATGACAAAGGTATTCCTCCTCAGCCAGTTGTGGGTAGGTACGAGGGATGTCTTTTAAGTTTTGCATATGGAAATAAAACAACACGGTAGGTAGTTTTAAATGACTTTATTGTTTTTCGAAGGATTCTCCACGAAGATTAATACACACCTGCATGCACTCGAACCAATTTTCGAAGCACTTATTCCACTAGTTTGCTGGCAGATCCAAAACGGCATTTTTGAATGCGTCAACTGCTTCTTCTGGTGACTGGAGCCTTTGACCATGTAGTCTCGTTTTTAATTTTCGAGAAAGTAAAGAAATCGTTAGGACTTAGATCGGGACTATATGGAGGATGGTCCAATAATCCCACGTTTTCTGTCGTTAAATACTGCCTTGTTTTTTGGGCTGTGTGCGAGCTTGCATTGTCTTGGTGGAGGATGATCCTTCTTTCGGGGTTGATTTTTCGAAGCTCGGTGATGACTTTTGGCAAGCAAATGGTGGTATACCAATCCGCAGTAACAGTTCTTTGCTCATGAAGAGGAATTGTTGCAATATGACCCGCTTTTGACACAAATGTCGCGACCATCTTTTTCGGAACACTTCGAGAACGGATGACTTTTGTTGGCTTTTCTTCACCTTGGTACACCCAAACAGCCGACTATCGTTTATTTTCTGGTTCATAACAGTAAATCCACGATTCATCACCACTAACAATGCTGTACCCATTTTTTTGAGTTTCCGGAATTGAAACGGTCAAGCGTTTTTTGACACCAATTAACCCTGGCTGCTTTCTGTTCTTCAGTCAACGGGCGTTTTCACACTAGCCGACACGACACCGGCACGATCACGGCACGACAACGACACCGACACGATAAATAATAATAATAATAAAATGTCTTTATTAGGCACATTATATACACTACAACATAATGTGACCTCTACGTAGGCGAAGTCTAGCTCTTGGCTACTCTACTTAACCTACCCAAATACTCAATTGAAACACTCAATCAAAAGAAACTTTGATAAGCAAAAGACGCTTCAAAACAACGAGCTTGATAGCTTCCTAGCATACATATATACACACATATATTACGTAAACTAAAATTAAATGTAAGAATTAAAAACTAACTTTTCCAAAATTACTACAATGACAAATAAATCTGTTTCACATGCTTACGAAATCTGTTTACTGGCCAATCCTTTATATTGTCATCTAATTCGTTATAAATCAGGATAGCATTGTAAGTGTATGAACTACGAAATAAAGTTGTTTTATACATAGGGATCTCTAGTCTTTTTTTGTGTCTGAAATCAATGTCTGAATTATTTCGTCTGAAAACAAATTTCTCATAAAGATACAAGGGGGATCTAGAAGATATGATCTTATGTGTAAACACTGCTAGATGGTACTTGCAAGCATTTTCTATACACATCCAACCAAGCTGAAATCTCTTTAAGGAAACATGATCATACTTCTTGAGATTAAATACAAATCGACAACAAGTATTTTGGAGTTTTTGGAGTCTTGCTTTTGTGATAGAATCAAGACAATGATAGAACACAGTGCTACAGTAAAATAAGCTTGGAAATATAATAGCCTCACATAACTTTTTTCTAACTTTAAAATTCAAAATAGAGCGATTGACATAAAAACACTTCAACGTTGCATAACATTTTTTTAAGATAGACGAAACATGCTCCTTAAACCGTAAAGTATAATCAATAATCAACCCTAAATTTTTTGTAGTATTTACGACAGCTAGACGCTCCTTGTCGATTTTTACATCAAGAGAATTCAATACAGTGTTACGTTTGACAGCAGGACAAAAAAGCATCACTGAGCACTTATCCTTATTGAGCTTAAGATTATTACCATTTGAGTATCCTACTATTGCCTCCAAATCATCATTAAGCTCACTGATTGAAGTATGCAAAGTGTTACTATTAAAGCTTTTATATATCTGTGTATCATCGGCATAGCACATCACAGAAGAGTTTTTCACAGAGCTACCCAAGTCTATAGTATAAATTAAGTACAACAAGGGCCCTAAAACTGAACCCTGAGGGACACCTGATGTTATATCAATCGGACTAGATATAGTGTTGTCTATCTCTACTACTTGTTTACGATTTGAAAGATATGTTATAAAAAACATTAGAGGTATGTCTGAAAAACCAAAAAACTTCAATTTAGCACATAAAAGCTCATGATCTATTTTATCGAACGCCTTAGAATAATCTAATGATACAAGTGCTGAAGCATCTCCCTTATCAAGCGAAGCAATGATGTCATCTAAAACCCTTGCTAAAGCTGAAGTTGTACTAAAACCACTGCGGAAACCAGATTGACACTTGGGAAAGAAATCATTATTAGAGAAATAATGATAAACCTGATGTTTAATCAATTTCTCCAATATCTTCGATATAACAGGAATCAAAGTTATAGGTCTTAAGTCTGAGAGACATTTTGGATTTTTACATTTAGGCAAGGGTTTGACAAGAGAAATCGGCGGGTATTTTCACATTTACCGACAGTGTCGTAGTGAGCGCCGAGAGATTATTGCAGATATGGCCGTTGGTAACTTGTATTTGCTATATTTGATGCATTTAAGACGCAAAAAGAGATTAAATGATATTACGTGTCCACCGGTATCGTTGTTGTTGTCGTGTCGGTGTCGTGTCGTCTAGTGTGAAAACGCCCAACAGGTGGGGTATCCA